ACGATAATTCCATAGATGAAAAGTACCATGATCGCAAACATCGGAACAACCAATTGCTGCTTTACATCGTGAGGAATGGTTGAAGCCAGAGGACTTGCCCATCCGTTATGCGGGCATATCAACTTGCTTCCGTCAGGAAGTTGGCTCCCATGGAAGAGATACTCGTGGGATCTTTAGAGTGCATCAGTTTGAAAAGGTATTAGAACCTTAGAGCAACATTGCCGTAAAATAGATATATTCTGGAGTTAATTTTCAGCGTTCTCTGAATATATAAAAATGCAAGGTTTCAAACCAATTGTTCTTATGCACTCACCAGGCACTTTATTAGGTACACCTGTTCAATTGCTTGGTAAGACAATTTGCTAATCAGCCAATCACATATCAGCAACTTGATGCATTTAGGCATCTAGATGTGGTGAAGATGCCTCGTCTAGACTTGCTGAAGTTCAAACCGAGCCATCAGAATGGGGAAGAAAGAGGATTTAACTGACTTTAAACATGGCATTGATGTTGATACCAGATGGGTTGGTCTGAGTAATACAAAAACTGCTGGTCTACTGGGATTTTCACGCACAGCCACCCCTAGGTTTTACAGAGAATGGTCCGAAAAAAAAGAGAAAATATGTAATGAGTGGCAGTTGTGTGGATGAAAATGCCTTGTCAGAGGAGAATGGGCAGATAGAAAGTCCATAGTAACTCAAATAACCACTCGTTGCAACCAAGGTATGCAGAATACATTCTCTGAATGCACAACAAGTTGAATCTTGAAGCAGATAGGCTACAGCAGCAGAAGACTTCATTGGGTGCCACTCCTGTCAGCTAAGAACAGGAATCGGAGGCTACAATTCACACAGGCTTACCAAAATTGGGCAATAGAAGATTGGAAAAAACGTCTGGTCTGATGAGTCTCTATTTCAGCAGCATGGTAGATGGTAGGGTCAGAATTTGGCATAAACAACATGAAAGCATGTATCCATCCTGCCTCGTTTAAATGGTTCAGGCTGGTGGTGGTGATGTAATGGTGTGGGGGATATTTTCTTGGCACACTTTGGGCCCCTTAGTACCAATTGAGCACTGTTTAAATGCCACAGCCTACCAGAGTATTGTTGCTGCCCATGTCCAGTATGCCTACATTATACCCATCTTCTGATGGCTACTTCCAGCAGGATAATGTACCATGTAACAAAGCTCAAATCATCTCAAACTGGTTTCTTGAATATGACCATGAGTTTATTGTGCTCCAATTGCCTCCACAGTTACCAGATCTCAACCCAATAGAGCACCTTGTGAAGTGGTGGAATGGGAGATTCGCATCAGGGATGTGCAGCTAACAAATCTGCAGCAACCTTGTGATCCTACAATATTAATATGTACCAAAAACTCTGAGGAATGTTTCCAACACCCTGTTAAATCTATACCACAAAGAATTAAGGCAGTTTTGAAGGCAAAAGGGGGTCCAACCCAGTACTAGCAAGTTGTACCTAATAAAGTGGCCAGTTAGTGTATATGTTCAACTGACGTGACATCTGATGTTAAAGTGGAACTCCATGTAAAGTTTTTTTTTATTTGTTTTAGATAGTTTGATGGTGAGGTTCTGTCCTTTGCCCAATATATAATATGCACAAGCAAAATATTATTTGGTTACTTCTTTTCCAATGACAAGTGGGAATTTGGAATTGTCTTTTAAAGTGGCACTAGATAAAACAAAGAGAATGTGACATGTAAAAAATGTATTTTAGTAAATTGTCCATCTAGTTCTGATTTATTTTTATCCCTTCTACATTTTAGATTGAGCAGTTTGTATTTGCTTCTCCTCATGATAACAAGTCCTGGGAAATGTTTGATGAGATGATCAGCACAGCAGAAGATTTTTACCAAGCATTGGGCATTCCCTATCGCATAGTTAACATTGTTTCAGGTATGCATGCTTCTATAGACATTTCTATACTACCATTTAAATAGCCCTGGTTCCTGATAAACAAAGTCCTATCCAAGTAAGCTTTAGAAGCTTGGATGGATACTAGAAGGCACAACTCCTACTGCATATAGCATATGCTGTGCAAGTTAAACATTCTAAGATCCCTGGCTGCATCGAAGGGGAGGATAGGAAAAGAAAGGGAAGGGAGGGACTAGCCAGCTCTCAATGCACTAGGCATAGATATAACCACCTCCCAACTGATTTTTACTACTCAGTACATTGTTTCTGTGTAGACTCAGCAATGCATTTTAACATGTATTTGTCCAAATATGGATTGGGGCTCTACAGTACAGAATTCAGTTTTCCTTGTATGTTGTGCTATGCAATTCAACATCATTGCTGGTTTGGCAAACCTATGGCGCTGCTCAAAGCTGGACAAGACACAACCAGCCTGCTGGCAAGGAAGAGAGGAGCACAGTGTCTTCATAGGACACTTCGGGACGGATATGTGCAGCGTCCATTCTCTCTTCCTGCATCATTGCTGGTTTATCCTAAACCTAGCCATTCATATCATGAGCAATTTTTATTGTTCCAGCCATGCAAAAATCCTTTGCAGTTTAGAGCTATGCTTGCAGACTTTCTTCTATGTTGATTACTGCTTTTATTTAATGTGGATGAATGATTCTTCTTTCACATTTGGTACCCCGTATTTATCTTTTTTGCTAACGTTTATACATTTTAAAAAATGCATTTCTCAGTAATCAGGATGATTGTGCTAATGCCTAATGCCGGTCCTAAGTGACAATATTCACCTAGGACCAGTTCACACCAGAACGTACTGCAGGTACAGTAAGCTACTTGAGTTTCCCACACTTTGTTCAAAAGCACTGCCTTTGTGATCTTCTGTGGGTGCCGACATATTAATGGCACCCCAAATACAGTGCGTTTGTGGGCATCAGATTGCATGGTACCGCAGTGCCATGCAGTTTAGTACTGCACGTTTTCAAAAGTAGTGCATGCACTACTTTCTGTGTGATCCAGTGCAATTTGCAGCCCATTCGATCGAATGGGCTGCAAAATTGCACTGCAGAGCAACACACGAATTGCACAGGAACCGATTTTATTTATTTATTTTGTGAACTGGCCCTTAAAGCGGTAGCAAACTGAATGTTTTAAAAATTGCTGACACACAGAACATTTTATGTTATGAAGCCAGGGGTGTGGACATTTTTTTAAAAAACTCCAAGGACTAAATCATGATCCCAATCTACTTGTCCATCATGCCAATCTACTTTTCCTGATAAAAAAAAACCAAATTTTTGCAAGGTTGGAAGATATGAAGGGTTGATGTTTGTTTATTAGGCACAGGGGCTTTAAAATTGAAAGGGGCTTTATGGCAACTTAAACTTTTAATGTTTTTTTTTTTATTTTTTGCTAGAAAATTTGTGGGTGTTGCAATTTTTTATGTCACATAGTATTTGCACAGCGTGTTTTTTTTAAATTTTATTGCAAACAATACATAACCTAGTTTTTTGGTAAAATGTAAAAGATGATCTTACAACGAGTAAATAGATACCAAACAACAAGTCATGCTTTAAAATTGTGCATGGGAACAAACAACGTAAATTTTACTATCCATTGGTGATGCTTTGGAAGCATCGCCAATGGCTAGTAAAATCCACAGGGGAACCCAACTTTTTGAAGAACAGGGGCCACCTAAGCATCTTGGTAACTAGTTTCGGGCCACAATGAACGAAGCGGGTGGATGACAGGTCCGTGTCCTCTGCATATGCACACAGCGCGCTCTACTCTATGGGCCCTCTGATCCGGCCGGAAAGAAGGGGACTGATCCCCCTTCCTTCTTTTTTTTTTTTTTTTTTTTTTTTTTTTTTTTTTGGATCAGATTGGAGGATGGAGCATGGAGGATCCAAATGGGACCGCCTGAAAAATAGACAGGCGGACACGATCGTGTGACAGGGGCCTAAGGCTTTCACACTGATGCTTTGCAGTTTACCCACACCGTGCAAAGCTGCACTTTGTCATAGCATTTTATTATACCCTGCAGGTGTGGTGCGCTTTCAGAAAGTGAGTGCACCAAACCCGCAGGTAATAACAGAAGCCTATGGCTTAGTGCAGGTTACCTGCCAGTGCGGTGCACCTACAGATCAGTTGCAAAGCAGCCCAGTAACCACTGCAGAAGAGAGATGCCCATATATACACTGTGATTATAGTTTATTATTGTTATTAAAGGTAAGTTTATAATCTTCCATTCAGAATTCTCCCTTGCTGCAGGTATTGCCAGCTGTTGCTGTCCCAGGCGAAGTGCAATTGGTATCACTCTGCCTGTGACAGGAGCTGGTGCTATACAGGAAGCATCAGCTTATGCGGCTCTGTTCCCTGCCCAGCTGTGTTTCCTCTAGCACTGGCTCCATTCAGAACGTTGATGCTGGGAGGACCGGTTGGGAACCCACAATCTGGGCTTGCCAACCCGCTATTCCAGAGCAGGAGGTTGCAGGCCACATCAGAGGGCCAGCAGTTTGGCACCTCTGCTTTACATGTTACCACTTTAGATTAACAGAGGAAGACTGGTGCTAGAATTACTGTATGGGGGGGCGTGGTCTGCCGAGTCCCGACATGGCCGCTTGAGTCCGGAGCTCCTGCCGGCCGGAGATCCCTGTACTCCTAGCACCGAGGATCGGGTGGGCAGTGAAAGATGGGGAAGGGGATCTGGAGCACACTGGGATCCTGGTTCCGCTACCCGCAGGCTTCAAACTCCCAGCAGACCCGCCATATCCAGGAGCTGTTCCTCTCCCATCAGAGGGAGAGGCAGTAGCCATCCTACTCTTCCTCCCCCCTCCTTCAGCATCAGCTACGGCAGTTGGCTCTCCTGGTACGGTCACAGACTCTCCTGCTGACTCAGTCCCCCAGCATGATCCTCTGAGAATCACACTCTAAGAGATTTAAATGCAGTAGTTGCAGACATAAAGATCACCCTAACTACTACCCTTAATGACCTATGTGATGACCTTCAAACTTTAGGCTCCAGAATAGAAAGGGTGGAGCTTGCTAACAGGTAACATGCAGACACCATATTGGAAATACAGCAGGCAATGGCCTCCCATTCCCACCATATTCGCGAATTCTGTTTTGCTGAGCTACCCTACTTTTTGTGCCCAGGCTCTGGTATCAGCCTACCTCTTTGTGCCTTACACCCTGGTGCCTCCACATCCCATCCACTGCATTTTCTCTCAAGTCGCATTGATTCGATTTCCCTGTAATCCTTCCGCCTGACCTGCGTGGTCTACCCGGGGGCCTATCGGATCTTCGTCCGACCACACCCGCATATTGCCTACTATATTTCCTGCAGTGGCCTCCTCCCCCGCTTCGCAATACTTCAAGACTATACCTTGGACCTTTCAACTAAGCCGTATCCCTCTGACATCTAGACATCCTCTGTTCAGCGTCAACTCCCCTGCTAGAACGACCGTCATCCTTTTGGTTTCTGGAGGCCCTGAGATGTCCTCAGCATTTCCATTCCCCTCACACATCAGGCCATGGACTACCACTCTGGATCCACTGCCTGCCCACCGTAACTCCCACCCGATATCAGATTTTATATACACAGACCACCCCGTCTATTTTTACATTCTACTAGCACGTTTATCCAGCAGGAAGACTTCACCTTCGTCCTGAGTTGCCCCGACATCACCTTCGCCATGGGGTGGGCGCCTGTAGCCACTTGACCACTGTTATCACCTATCCTCTACACTTACAGCGCTCAATTGGACCTCCGGCGGATCCCCTATTGTTGGTGTTTGGGTCTCCTCGCTCACCATACATACTGAGCTTTCACTGATTCACTCCGTATACTTCCTGTCTCACTCCCCCTTTTCCTACTCCTCCTCTCCCCTCCTCTCGTTCCTTCTTTCCTTCCTTCTCCTCTCTCCCCTTAGTGGGGATAGAGCTGGTCTGCTCTCCCCTCCAGATCTCTTCTCCCCCCCCCCCCCCCCCCCCCCCCCCCCCCCCCCCCCCCCCCCCCCCCGCCCTCTCTTTGCTCCCCTTCTTCCCCTTGATCATCCTCCTTTCTCCCATTCCCTTCCTGCTGGCATCTCTTCTCCTCCCTGTTATCATGACTACTCCGGGAACTCAGGTCGCTCGACCTTAAAAGTCATCTCCCTCAATGTAAAGGATTTAAATACTCCCGAAAGAAGGTCCCTCTTGCTCTCTTACATGTATAAACATAAAGCAGATTTGGTTTTCCTCCAGGAGACACATTTCCGTCAGGATGCAGTCCCCAAACTTGACGATGCACGCTTTCCGACAGTCTTTCATGCCCCCAATCCCTTAGCCAAATCTAAAGGAGTTGCCATCTTAATTGCCAAACACCTTCCTCTGTTTCGGATTCCTTAATTGACCCAGACGGCAGATATTTATTCCTCAAAGGCACTCTAGCTGACATACCCATCACTCTTGCTAATTCATACGCGCCAAACACTAAGCAGGTACCTTTTTTTTTTTTTTTTTTTTTTTTTATGTGGGATTACCTCCTTAATCTCCTCCTGCCAATCGGGAATGCTGATCCTGGGGGGGGGGGGGCCTCAATGTCCCTCTATGCCCACTGTCACGGATTGCCAGGGCCTCTCCCATCCCCCGCCATATCCCTCCACCCCTCCCTCCCCCCTTGCACATTTTGATGTCTGTGGAGCTTCTATGGACAGGGCTGGGCCAGCCATTGCCGAGGCAACCTAGCCGCGTCCCACATGGTTTTCAAAAGACCCGCACAGGAAGCAGCCCTCCTCTTTGTTCCATGCTGCTGGAATCATCTTGCTCCCAGAAAGATGCTGGGAGGCTCAGATGAGGGGGACCAAGCCTCCCCAGCCATCCCCCCTGCGCACTCTGCAGACCCCCAAAAGGTCAGGACTGTAGCCCTGCAATACCCCAGGATTGGGAGTCTCCACAGCTCTGCACGCCTCAAAGGTGAGACTCTGCCAGACCCTGCAAGTCTGTAAGCCTGTCTACTGAGCACCCTGTCTGCTGCTGAGTGCCCTGGGAGCTGCTGCTGAGGGACCCTGCACACTATCCGTGGCTGCGTGTCCCTGGAGGCTGTCTGCTGCTGAGTGCCCTGGGAGCTGCTGCTGAGGGATCCTGCACACTGTCCGTGGCCAGGGGTCCCTGGAAGCCGTCCGCTGCTGAGTGCCCGGGGAGCTGCTGCTGTCTGCTGATTGCTGGTTGTCCCTGGAACGCTGACCGCTAGTCGTCCCTATCTGGAGCCGCCTGCCGCTGAGGGTCTGCAAGCTGCTTACCGTGAGTGTCCTGAACTGTCCCCGCTGTGTGCACCGACCACCCGTGTCCTGAACTGTCCCCGCTGTGTGCACCGACCACCCGTGTCCTGAACTGTCCCCGCTGTGTGCACCGACCACCCGTGTCCTGAACTGTCCCCGCTGTGTGCACCGACCACCCGTGTCCTGAACTGTCCCCGCTGTGCGCACTGACCAGGGGTAGGTTGCCGCCTATTGCCCGAGACACCTGCCCAGTGGTAGGTTGCTGGCTGTTGGCCGAGTCTCCAATCCGCTGTCCAGTCATGGAGGGAGCTCGGCTGAGGCCCCAAGCCTAGGGGGGAGATTGCCTGCCTGTCGCTGAAGACCCCCTGTGCCTGGAATCGTCCCTGGTTTGCGCACACATCACCCTCCCTGCCATTTCCCCATTGAGTGTCTGTCATTTTGTTGCTTCAATAAAACTTTGTGTGTCCCCCATCTTCTCCGTGTGCTCTGTCCTGCCTACGCTTCCGCTACCCACTATTAGATTCCTCTTCAGGTACCTTGTTTCTGCCCTACAGATCTATGTGCCAGATTCATACCCAATTCCAAGATCTCCATGACTCTTGGAGAGTTCTCCACCCGAACTCCAAAGATTATACGTTCTTTTCCTCCCCCCCCCCCCCCCCCCCATAACAAGTACTCTAGAATCGACTACCTCTTTGGACCTACCTTTTCTGCATAACTCCTCCATAGATCCTATGTTCCTTTCAAATCACCATCCTATTACCATGACCTTAAGCTTCCCTGAAAAACATTCCCATACAAAATTGTGGCAGCTTGACACATCCCTCCTTGTTGAAAACAAGTAGCAAACGAGGCTGATTTGCGCTCCAAACTTAAGGAGTACTTTCAGACCAAACCAAACTTCCGATACCTCTCCCTTGATCCAGTGGGAAGCACATAAATGTGTAATTCGAGAGACTTTAATTGCCATGGCAACCAAGCGTAAACATGACCGACAGGTGTCCATAAAACTTTCATTAGACTGAATCTGACACCCAGGCCCAAACGACCTCAGCAGAAATCATGACCATCCACTGACAGCTAATGTCGGAGCTCGGTAAGACAGTCAAACGCAGATTTATCATCTCCCAGAAGCTTTTTTATGAGTATGCAAACAAGAGTGGTAGATTCTTGGCAAGAACCCTCTGAGCAAAACAAAGCAAATTTGACAGCCTACAAAATAAGGGGTGCGGACGGCTCCTTGGGACGTTGCCTCTCACTTTGAACGGTATTACACCCACCCTCTTCAACCTTCCTCCACAACGTCCCCCAAATAAATCAGATAAATCCAGATCCACCCTGATCTCGGAGTTCCTACATCTCTACAGCCCTCCCGCAATCTCAGAGGACCTAGCACAGGACCTGGAATGAAAACATTTCCTCTGATGACTTACTTCTGGCCCTCAAACAAATGAAACCTGGCAAAAGCCCAGGCCCTGATGGCCTCCCTTTGGCCTACTATAAGACATTCATAGATGTGGTGTGTGATCCTTGTCTTGAGGCTTTCAATTCTTTTAACTTCCCTTCAGCCCCTCCAAACCGTTTCCTTGAAGCACTTATCACTGTAATACCCAAAGGGGGAAAGGATGCGACTTCAGTTACCAGCTATAGGCCAATTTCAATCCTGAATGTCAACATCAAACTCTATGCAAAAATTTTGGCCAATAGACTCCTGCTCCCCTCACTGGTGAACCTAGACCAAGTCGGTTTCATCCCAGGGAGGGAAGAGAGACATTACTACTAAGGCCCGAACAACCTCCACTTTCTCCACACTTATCAACAGCCTGGCTTCCTCCGGATGCCGAGAAGGCCTTTAACAGGGTGGGCTGGGACTACCTAAAGGCCTCCTTGAGCGCATTAGGTCTAAGAGAAAATATGCTTAATTACATCACGGCCCTGTATCCATGTCCAACAGCCCAAGTCCGGGTTAATGGCCACCTGTCGAGACCCTTCCCTCTCAAAAATGGCACACGTCAGGGTTGCCCCTATCACCTCTTCTTTTCGTTCTAACGCTAGAACCTTTGCTTCGCAAGCTCCGTGTGAACCCCAATATCAAGGGAATCTCCGTTGAGGGACACATGCATAAAATTGCCGCTTACTCAGACGATATCTTACTTTTCCTATCGGAACCCAGAACCACCTTGCCCAACCTCTTTAAAGACTCATTCCTTTCAATTCCTCTCCAATCTCAAAATTTAATTTTTACAAATCCTGTGCTTTGAACATTACTATTCCTCATGAGGCGGTCGCTTTTTGTAAATCACACTTCCCATTCAAATGGGAAAAGGAGGCCCTTACTTACCTCGGAATACAGCTCCCTAGTACTCTCCAAGATCTTTATGCTAAAAATGTTATCCCAGCCCTTTGAGCCATTCAGGAAGACCTCTCGAAATGGCATCGCCCATGTTTTCTCTGGTTCGGAAGGGCTGCAATCCTTAAAATGAATATTCTTCCCTGCCTTCTTTACCTCTTCCAGACCATTCCTATCCACCATTCGCTCTTTGCAGAAAAATCTGCTCACAGTTCCTATGGAGTTATAAATGCCCATGTATTTCCTTTTCTCAGTTGTCCCTCCCCAAATTCAAGGGGGTATCGGGCTACCCGATGTTCAAAAATACCAGTGGGCCTGTCATCTTACCAGAATTATCGATTGAAATGTGCACTTGCCCACAAAAGCATGGGTTCACCTCGAGGACTCTTTCTCTCCCTCTCCTCTGGCACTGATCCCTTGGCTCCCATCAAAACATACCCCCACGATGCTTTATACACACCCACTGATTGGAGCGACCTTGAAGATATTTTGGTTGGCGTGCAAATCTGCTTCCATCTTAGATGCCCCTAACCCTCTTGCCTCTTTGCGCATGAATCCAGAATTCCCACCAGGCCTGCACCCATCTTTTCTGGCTGATCACTGGCCTCACCAACATGTACGAGCAGAACACTTCTTTTGTAATGGCCAACTTAAGACCCTAGCCTCACTCACCCTCTCCATGAAGGATCATACCTTCCCCTTCTGCGCATATGTCCAAATAAGACACTTTCTCCACTCAAAAGCTCACCACAACAAATGGACCCACCCTCTCACCCCCTTCAAAGCCCTTTGCTCCAAAACGGAACCCCAACGACACTTGGTTTCCACCAAGTATCTTCTCCTATTTTAGACCGAACCCCTCTCACACTCCCAGCTTGCCGAGCTTGGATGAGAGACTTGGAAATCGACTTATCTTCTTTGGATTGGGACCAAATATTCACTTGCGCACATAAAGGTTCTTTGAACGCTTCAACTCAAGAAAATGGATATAAATTGGCTTCCCGCTGGTACAGGACCCCCTCCAGACTTCATCGCTTTAACCCGATCTTACCCAAATCCTGTTGATGTGACTCCCAGGATGGTTCACTTCTTCATATTTGGTGGTTCTGTCCAGCTATCCAACCCTTCTGGAAAGAGGTCCACCACATAACCTCGTCGGTCTCTTCACTACCTCTTGAATTTTCCCCAGCCCAATGTCTCCTCCACCATACGTCTACCCCCAGGCGCCTCTACTTCAGATCACTAGCAATGCACATGTTAAATGCAGACAAATTAAGGTTACCAGCCCTATGGAGATCTGCTCGACTCCCGTCGACCCGAGACTGGCTGATACGCCTGGGTAGAGTGGCGGAGATGGAGGAACTCATCGAGTCGTCATGCGATTACCCGACTAAATTTTCTCCCACTTGGGGCTGCTGGATTCACTTCCAAAAGACTCCTGAATACCGCTCCATTATGGGTTTCCCTCCTTGACTGCCCCCGATCTTGGAGCCCTTTTTCTGCTTGCTCGAATGAATTGTTTACTCAACCTTCCCCCCCTTGGAACTGAGCGCCCTTCTCTTTAATCTTAGAGGAAATGCAAATTGCCTTATCTCTAGGCTCCTGATGAATTGATCCCAGTCTTGACCTCTTTGGGTTGTTCCCTATGTTCTGCCCCCTCCTGTTCCCCCCCCCCCCCCTTTTTTTTTTTTTTTTTTTCCCCTCTTCTTCTCTCCTCTCCCTTCCCTCTCCTTATCCCCCTCCCCCTCTCTCCTCTCCCTTCCCTCTCCTTATTCCCCTCTCTCCTCTCCCTTCCCTCTCCTTATCCTTATTCCCCTCTCTCCTCTCCCTTCCCTCTCCTTATCCCCCTCCCCCTCTCTCCTCTCCCTTCCCTCTCCTTATCCCCCCCCCCCTCTCCCTCCTCTCCCTTCCCTCTCCTTATCCCCCCCTCCCCCTCTCTCTCCTCTCCCTTCCCTCTCCTTATCCCCCTCCCCCTCTCTCCTCTCCCTTCCCTCTCCTTATCCCCCCCCCCCCCCTCTCCTCTCCCTTCCCTCTCCTTATCCCCCCCCCTCTCTCCTCTCCCTTCCCTCTCCTTATCCCCCTCCCCCTCTCTCCTCTCCCTTCCCTCTCCTTATCCCCCCCCCCCCCCCCCCCCTTATCTTTACCCCTTCTTTCCACCCCTACCCCTTCCCTAGTTTACCTCCTGCCTGTGATTCTTCCCTCCCCTCTCCCTCTTTTTCCTATTTTTCTTCTTTCCCCACAAGTTACATTATCATCCGCACTCTCCCATCCACATTCTCTTGATTTTCTTTAGATGATACTGATAGGCACACATATGACTTTTGAAAACAAGATACATACCGTTCGACTTGACAAAAGGCTACTATAGATCCCTATCCGCAATCCCATCTTTTGTAGATTTACCTGGTTTCGTGTCACGCTTCATCTCCCACTGACCTTCCAACTAATTCAGGATATACTTCTTCTTGATCAGACTTCCATGGCCTCACGAAGGGCCCTATACCTAAACCGAAAATCGGAATAGCCCTTCCTCTATTTTGGATGTACTCCCTTGCAGTCTGCATTCTCTCATCACATTATGCACTGATTGTGTTTTTTGGACAAATTGTATCACCTAAAATACTGTGCCTTTCTACCTGCTTTGATCATTGCGATCCTTTTGATCATCCTCTGTTGTATTTTTGATTTGTACTGTCTCTTTGATCCTAATAAACGTTATGGAATAAAAAAAAAATTAGGAACAGTAAGAAAAACTTACAAACATGCCAGATACAATTTGACAGCATCACTGGTGGATTGCAACAATCATGCATTTAACACTTTCACTGAGATGTTTTTGTAATTTTTTTTTTTTTTTTTTTTT